CAGAAAGACCCTTCAACTTTCAGCCATAGAAGGTACACGCCTCTTGCAGAGTGGAAGTTTCGCGAGTTCAACGAGGTTCCGCATCTCTTCCAGGAGCGTATTAACATGTCTTATCCGTTTGCGAGTCGATACATTGACCAGTTCCCGAAAAAAATGACGGAACAATTTGCTAGAACGGTAACCTTCGTCGCAGGAGCCATTACTTCAGTTCTTGCCGTCGCCTCATTCCTCGATCCGCAGCTGTTTCTCGGGTTCGAGATCACGTCTGAGCGATCAGCACTGTTCTATATCGGCGTGTTCGCCGCCATATGGGCGGCTGCAAGAGGCATGATCTCTGAGGAGACAACTGTGTTCAATCCAGAGCACGCCTTGCTCTATGTCATTGAGTACACGCGCTATATGCCAGACCACTGGAAGGACCGTCTTCATACAGCCGACGTAAAGCGTGAATTCTCGGAGCTTTACAAGCTCAAGCTGGTGATTCTGATCGAGGAGATCATTGGTATACTTACGGCCTCGCTGGTACTGATCTTCTCGGCACCGAAATGCAGCGATCAGATCATCGATTTCTTCCGGGAATTCACAATCCACGTGGATGGAGTTGGCTATATCTGCTCGTTCGCCGAGTTCGATTTCAAGAAGGGCGTGGGCAAGGCCAAGCAACAGTCCGGCCCTGGCGACGTTCGAGAAGACTATTATTCCACGAAACATAACAAGATGGCAGCATCTTACTATGGCTTCTTGGACAACTATGTGATCAACCCGAAAACGGGCATCCCGGGCCATTTACCGCCAGGGAGTCGTCATCCTTTCCATCCTCCACCAGCGTTCCCGGGGCTGAACTCGCCAACGCTGGCGGCCGATATGCAAAGTTCCAGACTGGGTCGGCATGACCTATCGCGAAGTCGAGCTCCTCCTGGTGGTGGAGTTGGACAACAAACTCGAACGCCGAGGTTCGGGCCCTCGATGACGGCTCCGTCGCCGATGGCATCAATGCTACTCGATCCACACCACCAACCGGCCGCAACAGGGTTCGGCGCCCGAAGTACGCATCGGAGCCGACCCGGTCGGGGGGGATACCAAGGTGAAGGTATAATTGAAGAGTCAACTGAAGACGGGCTCGCCACAGACGCCCGACTGCATTCTCAAGGACCATTTGAAGACGAGATGTATGGGGGCTCAGGACCTTTAGGCGAGTCTGTATGGGAGACATCGCCGCCCAAAGGGTTGAGTCGAGAAAACAGCATGGCTGATGCAGGCGAGCAAGACGCCGGGGTACTGGGGCTGATTTACCAATTCCAGCAGGCCCACCGTAGCAACCCCCAAGGTGGAGGAGGGCTCTAATGCGGTAACACCATAGATAATGTTATGGGTTCGTTAACTACTTAGTAGACGAGAATGAAACTTGAGTAAACGGTCCAGGGGGCCATGGATCCAATGGGTTTCCACACTTTCAGTCCTTGCCGTAGGTCTGCCACGGTTGGCAAAGGAATGCGAAGGAGGATACCCGGCTCAAGAAGCCCAGTCGTATACACACAGGTAGTATTGTTATAGAAATGAAATAGACGGCAATGACCATTTGAAGAAAAAATTGAAAATCTCAACCACTAGCACGGGGACGTGACGTTCTCTTGCTTTCGCCGACGGGGCGGACGCCGGACCGGACCGGGAAGGGAGATGTCGTATCTCCGAGAAGCCCGCACACGTGCTCCAGAGCACCGTGTGAGCGCCTCTGGGCGAGGCGGTTCACAGAAGAGGATCGGGATGCAAAAAAGGCGCGCCGCGCAAGCCTAAATTCGCAATAAATAGGGGGGTTGCAAGAGAGTCGAGCTAAGTCAGTGGGCGTAGGTTCGAGCATTCGAGTGGCTATGGGCGGTAGGTTCTATGTAGGCTGTGTACATCGTGAGTACTAACCAAGTAATAGCCCACGAAGCAGTACGGGTTCTCGGGACAGTGGAAACGGCAAAGAGTTTTCTGTCGGACGCATGACGAGGTGGATGGGCGGCCTAGGGCTGGAGATTGATAAGATGAGATTAGATGCAAGCAATGGAGGCCCGAGTGCCGTGTCAGTAAAGGGTGAAAGGGCCAAGGCTACTGACAACCGAGATGAACGAATATGAAAGCCTTGATCGTATCTTGCATTGCACCATTGCGATTGCAGTGAGACAAGACGACTTTGGCGCTCTCTTCCGTGTTGTCTCCTTTCCCCTATCAGCCGCAGGTCTGCAAGTATCGAACCCGTGAGCCCATCGTGTTGAATCCTACCATATGCCATGTCTGGGGAAGAGACAGCAGAACGAGAGAGAGGAAGGAGAGTGCCCTTGTCTTCGTTGGCTGTGTTCGCATCCGTACCGTGTGCGCCGACCACGCAGCAGTATCACCTAAATCAGTGACAGGGGTAGATGACATGACCCGCCAAAGGGGTGCGATAATTCCAGAACCGAGGCCGGAGGTTCCATGATTTTACGAAGAAGTATTGAAGCGAGGACGCAAACAAATGGGTCACTGTCCCCCAGAGCCTTTTGTCAAATCCAGCTTTCTCAAGGGTCAGATGCTTCTTCTGTCCTTCTAGAAAGACGATGAGACAGGAGAGTGAGTGCCGGGCAGGGGCGTGCTTGTGAGGCTATGAGGGCATTACCACTTGACTGGATTTGACATATTGTTTGCAGTGGAGGTGCTCACTCTCTATTGAGACCCAGCTCAGGGACCCATCACCACCTCAGCCATTAACCGGGTAGCTTCAAAGTCACTTTGTCTTCCTAGCCACTTGCCGGAGGGCGCTTATAGGGAGAGTCGGAACACTGGAGACACCGGCCAGGCGGATCCATTGAAAGCACGGGCTGGATCCGGGGGGTCGGCCGAACCCTTGACGGACTTAGCTAAGCGAGTGAAGAAAGGTACGGGTAAACCGAAGAAAAAAAAAAGAATGAACACAGTAATCCTCATCTTGGGGGTTGCCGATACTCGTTTTGAGCACTGATGATGGGAGCCGGAGGTCCAGCCATCCCCTGGTCTCATCTCGAGCTAAATCTGGCGTCCTCAAATGGAGGGAAAAGGTTGAATGATACATCGATACAAAGTCTGATGTGTTGGGGGCGACTATTGGGGTGGATGTGGTCACATCGGATGTAAAGTCAGCGTCATGAAGTGTCTTTCTGGCATCTGCACGGTCAGGGAGGAAAACGTAGAAATGATACTGCCAACAACGCAACGATACATACACTGGCCACGCTGCGGCTTACCGCGACCGCGGCGTTCGATTGCTTCACGGACATAGAAGTGTGGTTGATCCTACGGATACATGTGGGCGGAGAGACGTGGCGAAGGGTCAGCAGACAGAGATGAGATTGATAACAAAAAGTCAGGGGAAGAAATCCACACAGATCTTACTAGGATGACCCACTCTGCCTGCCACTGACCAGATTTTCAAAATACCAGATGCAATGATAGCCTCGATAGGGAGAGACTGGGACTGGGGGAAAGGTTTTGACAAAACAGGATGGAAAAGCTGGAAAAAAGAGGTCAAGTGCCTACTGGCTGCTGGCAAGCCGGGTCTTGGGGAAAAGCGGGCCGCTGATCTCCGAGGCCGCAACAGACGAGACCCGAGGTTGGACTCTGGAATCTGGACTGTCCATTTGAGTGTTGAGCTGGAACACTTTTGAGGACACTGTCTGGTACCGCTCTTTCGTTTCTGGGTTTTCTCCCCTTCTTCTTGACCTATTCCCGGTCTTGCTATTCTGATGTCTACGGAAATATTGGGACAACAATACATTCTCCTCTCGTTTTCCAGGTAAATAAATGTTGGCTCACTGTGTCGCCATGCTCTGCCATTTATCAAAATTCAGTAAACACTCGGTACTTGTTATGAGGAACTCCAAGGGTGATATGCCTGTTTGCATCTTAGCAATGTGGACATGCCAACGCATATCTAGAGACATATACTCAATGTTCCAAGGGCAAAGGTGCCTGATATATCAATCGAAGCCCGTGCCTTATGGCCAAAAGTCCGTTGGCGTTGGAAGATACCTTTGGTAGGCCGGGCTGTAGTTCGCCCGGGAGTCCCTGGAAAACCACCTCAGCTCGCCTTAAACCCGCTGGGAGGAGAAACTTCTATGACTTCTATGACCCAACCAAGTATCTTCCAACTGCCACCAATGTACCTTACCTTGCCTTGCCTTGATGCATCTACCACTCAACAAGATAGCTACGTTAGGTAAGGTAGTCAAGAGATGTGCGGAAACTGCAACACAGAGCATGTCTCACCGACCAAGTAATAATTGTTTACCTGGAGTCTTGGGCCAGGTAATGTGAGGTATGTGATTTCTCCCCATTCTCTGGGTACGAAGTACGCAGTACTCCGTACCCAGGTGCCAATACCTTAGCTCCCCTCTCTTTCTCGGCCCCGACATCCAATCCACAGTAAATGTACCTTCACGTTAGCCCCGGCCTCCACTGCCTGTGCTTTACCTGACTCTGCTAGCTCCAATTGGCCTTTTTTTTTTTTTTCCCTCTCCTGCTAGTTACGACGTGGTTTGGCCTTCCTTACCTCCGCCGTTCCTACAACCTCAAGTCTCGCAACTGCCACCTGCATACCAACCGTGCATCGCAACTCCCAACGCACGGCGCCGTGAGCTTCAAGGTCGCTCGCTTCTTCCTAATAGCTCCCATTGCACTCGCCCTCGTCATTGCACGCCGTTGCCCGACACTTGTCGACTTTTCCCGGCCGAATCCATCATCGACGGGCCTATCCGATTGTATGCCCAGAGCCATAAGTTTCCCTAGGCCTACGAGAGCAGATCGCGAGTGAAAAGGAAAGATAAAAAAAACCAGAGAAGCCATCGGCACAGACGGCCAACGCGATATTTTCCGTCTCTCCCTCAACGAGAGCTCCTCCCGCCACATCCGTGGTCGCCATCGCCGACCCCCTCGATCCCCCTCCAGCTGTCAATCTGGCGGCTCTTCAGCCCAAGCCCTACGGCGAAGCATCTGCTGTGGCCGCAATGGCCCAGCCCAATGCAGAGCCCGCCGAGGAATACGAGTGCGCAATGCCCCCATCTACACATTCATCACGCCCACATCTTCTGCCGCCACCCTTCGCCCTCGACTCCTCTTGACGATGACGCACACCATACCAGTACCCTCCTGCTGACTCTTTGCTCTACCAGCTATGAATCTCTACCGCCCAACTTTTCCCTCGTGCAGAACATGGCTGCTGGGGCATTTGCGGGCATAGCGGTACGGCATACCCTTCACCTGCGGTCTCGGCCCCGAATGAGCTGGCCCGCCTTCAAGTTTGATATTCCACAAAATCCCGGATGCTGATCATTACATTTGCAGGAGCATACCGTCATGTATCCGATTGACGCCATCAAGGTACGATGCGGCTCCCTTCCATAACTATAGATATCGCAGACGATCATCCGCTAACCCCGAGCTTTGCAGACTCGCATGCAGGTCCTGAACCCCAATCCCTCGGCCGTCTACAATGGTGTGATTCAAGGTACATACCGCATAGCTAGTCGCGAGGGCGTCCTGAGCTTGTGGAGAGGCATGTCCAGTGTTGTTGCCGGTGCCGGTGAGTGATTCCCTACCAGCACGACCGCTATTATGCTCAATGACTCCCTTTTACTCACTATTCTAGGTCCCGCTCATGCTGTTTACTTCGCTACATACGAAGCTGTCAAGCATGTAATGGGTGGCAACCAAGCTGGTGTCCACCATCCTCTGGCTGCTGCGACCAGTGGTGCTTGCGCTACGATCGCCAGCGATGCGCTGATGAACCCTTTCGATGGTGCGTGGTCTTAACGTCATCTTATTCCTCCACTCGGTATTCCCAGTAGCTGACGTCGAGTTCATTTCAGTCATCAAGCAGCGCATGCAGATTCAGGGGTCGGCCAAGATGTACCGTACCATGACCGATTGCGCCAAGTATGTCTACAAGACTGAGGGGTTGGCGGCTTTCTACGTCTCTTACCCGACCACGCTCTCCATGACGGTGCCCTTCACTGCCCTCCAATTCTTGGCGTACGAGTCCATATCGACGGCCATGAACCCCAACAAGGGATACGATCCCACAACGCATTGCTTGGCTGGTGGTGTCGCCGGTGGTTTCGCTGCCGCTTTGACTACACCTATGGATGTCATCAAGACGATGCTTCAGACCCGAGGAACTGCCACCGACCCAGCATTGAGGAACGTGAACGGATTCATGGCTGGGTGCCGGTTACTGTACGAGCGTGAGGGTTTCCGCGGATTTTTCAAGGGTGTGCGCCCCCGCGTGGTGACCACCATGCCCAGCACTGCCATTTGCTGGTCTGCCTACGAGGCTTGCAAGTATGTTGCCCTTAATCACTCATCAGCAAAGCACTGTTCTAATACAACAACCTTGCAGGGCCTACTTCATCTCCAAGAACGACAACCCGAACCCTTGAAGGCGGTCCGCCGCTGCGCATATAGAAAAGAATGTCATTGACGATTCGATCACCGATTAGAGCGGTCTTGTAAATTTAGAAATCAGGGTCGAGGCCCATGAGGAACTCGGACCACCGAATTGGTCTTTTTATACTTGGGGGTACAATAAGCACGATACCAGCATTCCCGGCGAGCATTACTCTTCCTCTGCTAGGTAGTGGCGCGAGGAATGACACACGCCGTCTTCCAAGCGGGTCTATCTGGTGCCGGGGAGCTGGTGGTTTGGCAAAACGCAACGTTTGAAAGGATACTCAACATGTTGGCGTCAGGAAATGACGGACTTGCCTGGAGTTGGTATGCTCACGGACGGATTTATAGAAACTAATCTGATATGCCGTCCCTCACTCTCCTCTACATTCGCCATGATCTGCCATTGGCATGTTCTGCCTCCACAGGCCTGTGACAGCAACAGGTAAACATCACTGAACTACCGTTTCGGAATTTGTCAAGCATTCAGGTGATCTCGGCGCGCGGGATTCACGCTGAGTTAAACTATTAAAAGCCTCCAGCATGCGAGGCTTGTCCTCTGTCGATAACATGATCTGTATGGTCGTCTTCGTCTCCTTCCGAACACCGTCACTCTGACGGCAAGCGCAATTGTCTTGACGACGAGACTTGGTGACATTTCAACGCTTCAAACCGAAAGCCATGATGGAAAGATGTATTGGCACATTGTGCATATTTCTGACAGCTTAGACAATGGAATCGACCCCAGATATCTGGGGAAGTGTGCACTTGACTGGCTTCTTGCCTCATGGCCTAGAGCCGTTTCCCCGTCTCAAACTACGAATGACGATAAAAAGTAATGCCGGCCGTTGAGTGAGGCCCCGTGAAACTCCAGGCTTTGACCTATAAAACTCCTTGATTCCATGCTGCGCTCTCTCAGAGTCTTTCTCAATGCTGTCACAACCCCGTCTTCATTAGAAGGGGAAGCCGCCACCACCGCCTCCTCCGCCAAACTTGAAGTGGAATTGCTGGCCTCCACCGCCGCCGCCCTGCTGGAACATGAACGGATGGCCGCCGCCAAAGGGGTTACCCTGGAACGGGCTGCCTTGCTGCTCCTGGTTGTTCGGGTCGTCGCCGCGGTCGAAACGTTCGCGGAGCTCAGGGTTGCTGAGGACCTCGTACGCCTCATTGATGGATGCCATCTTCTTCTCCGCCGCCTCCTTTGTGAGTCCCTGCTTGGCGGCCTTGTCGGGGTGGTGGATCTTGGAGAGCTTGCGGTACGCCTGCTTGATCTGTCGCTCGTCGGCGTCGTGAGAGACGCCGAGTACCTTGTAGTAGTCCTTCGTCTTGCTCCGCTTCAATGCAATCTGGGCCTTTTGCATGAGGGGCTGGACAACGTCGTTCTTGTCCGGGCGGATTTTGCTAGCCTCCTCGAAAGACCTGATGGCCGCCTCGAACTCTTCTCCGTCCATCATGACCTTGGCGCGGTATAGCAAACCATAGAAGGATTGCTCGTTGAGAGCGAAGGCCTCTTCGCAGTATTGCTTGGCCTTCTTGCCGTTCATCTATGGCGGTTGTTAGTCAAATCATGTGCAGCTTCTTCCGTTGAGTGCAGTACTTACGTCGTAGTAACCTTGGCAGGCCATTTCTGCCACTTGAATGTACAGCGATGACTGAGCATTGGAGGGGATTGTGCCGTCAGCGCGCAATTCCTCGACTTGGGTCTTTATGTCTGTGATCAATCCAGTGTCGTCGGCAGAGTCGATCAGGAGCTTGACACCAGTCATGGGCTGGTTCTTCTCGAAAGCTTTGTTAACCCTGTTCAGGGTCTTTTCAATGGCCTTTTGTTGCTTCAGAAGCTTCCTACAAGGCTTCGAATCGGGATCGGAGTGCAGGCACTTCCGCGTCTGGGCCATGCCGTTCTGGAGATCGCCGAGTCCGTAGAAGGTGATGGCGGCGATCTTGATGTGCGGCGTCGTGTCTCCCGGCCTCATCTGCAATACGTGGTGCAGATCGCTCATGCCCTCCTCGACCTCCCCCCGCTGGAAACGGCAGCGCGATCTCATCTCACGCAGGGAAATGGCTCGGTTGGCGGTCATGATGGCCTGACCGGCATGTCCCACGCAGGCTTCCCAGTCGCCGCTCTTCTCAGCTGCCTCAGCGAGATGGGCAGCGCCCTGAGCCTCGTCGAGAGCAGCGAGCTCAGCTGAAGCGGGGTCCTTCTTGGCCAGTTTGTACTGCTCCCTTGCGCCGTCCCAGTCTGCAATCTTGGACTTGATCTTGGCTAATTGCACATGGGCACCCTCGAAGCCCGGCTTGAGTGACAGAACCTTGTTAAAGTCTTCGGTTGCCTGGTTCGTACGGCCGAGGGAGAGATACGTTGTCGCGCGCTTGAAGAGCGTCAAGTAGTTAGAAGGATCGCGGGCGACGGCGGCATCGTAGTACACAAGGGCATCGGACGTCTGGCCCTTCGAAAGGTGAGCTTGGGCGGTGGTAAGGAGGGAAGACACGGGGGTATCGGAGGGTATCTGGTCGGCGGATATGGCGAGAGTGGGCGTCGAGAGCAGACTGGCTGCGAAAGCCAGGGCGCAAAGGCGGACGTACATGGCTGGCGCCAGGTGATTGCGAATAACGAGTGTAGAGGAATCTGTTGCTCAGAGCCGGATATGAGGGCGGGAGTATGTGGACAGGTTTCGAAGGAGAAAGAAGACAGGACCCAGGCTTAAGAAGAGAGGGGGGGGATTGGGGCGGGTATAAAGAGAGTGAGGAAATTGGAAAAGTTGTCCTCAAAAGAAGCCAAGTAATACGGATAGGATGAAAGCTACATATGACCATATAAAGCTAAGGTTGTGGGGCAAGTAGTCCTTAACGGGCTGACAGTGACAAGCCTCCTTTGTGTCCTTCTCCCGGAGATGCTGTACGTTGTTTAGGAGTACACAAACACCAATCGGCTCTTTTAATAGCCATAATTGCCTCGAGCAACTGGCCTACCATGGCAAGGCAATACCAAGTCATAGAAATGAACACGAATCTCCTTTTCCGTGAGGTTCCTTGGTAAATAATGCATGGCAACCCGGCAAGCTGGATAGCCCATTACCTTGAAGTTACCACCCCTGGAGGATCGAGTCGCAAACTCAATATTCCGTCAATGAATGCGACGGGGACGCTTACTTGGGAGACGCGCTGAAGTGTCCAGATTTCAGTAGACACAACGGAGATCGGGTCCACTTAGCGCTTCTTTGCAGGGGTCTCATTCACACTCTGCCTAATTAGGTAGAGCTCTGTACCTTACAGAGAACTACGTACCTTGCCGTTCGTACCCTGCATTTCACTTGCATTGCTTTTCAGAACCTCCCGCCGCCAATCAGTCGCGAGACAAGGCAGCCAATGCACCCCAAATTCCTTGACAAAATAACAGGCAACGACGACAACGATAGCTGCCGGTAACTCTACTGCTCATACCAAAGAGGGGTGCCTCTACTTGAGTTTCTATACAGGAAAAGAGACAGCTGAACCTCACCGCATCTCAACATGGCTCATCTTCCACCTTCAACAGCCATCTTCTCACCCTCGATAGCCCGCATCGCCGCCTCCACCGCCAAGGACTGGAGCTATGTTGATAGCTGGCTCGCTTCAAAATACCAGGGCCGTTCCATCCCGCCCTTCGAGCGCAGTCCCGAGACCCTCAAAGCCCTCCTGGCCCTTGCCAACATCAACGAAGCCGCAGATGAGGAGCGTGAACTAGTCGCTCGAGCCGAGGCCGCCGCCCTCCAGGAGCTCAGCATCGCCCAAGACCGCTCGGAACCCCAATCAGACCTCCCGACCTCGGCCACCGTCCGGGAGAGGATTCTCGGCACCGTACAGGATCACCTTACCCGTGAAGGACGCACCGCGCTGAATTCTCTGGCCACCCTGGCATGTCAGCTCTCCGTAGCCCACCCGGATGCTGAGAGTCTTGGCCGTTCCATGATTGCTCTGCACGCCGAAGCCTCAGAGCTAGAGCAGATGCGCGTTCGGGTGCACATCCTCCAGAGCCATATTGAGCGAGAGGCTGCCATGGCCCGCGAGATGCTGCGCACCTTGAGAAGCGACGACTACAAACCCGTCGCTGACCTGGCCCGGCAGAATTTGGACATGCAGAGGAGGATTAAGACGATGGCCGCGCGCATCCCCGAAATCAAGGACCGCATGGCTACCCTCAACCAATCCCCAGCTGTCTCTCATCCTACCATCGAAAAGGTTGCTCAAGACGAGGCCGGCTTTCTTGACCTCCTTGCCCAAAAGAAGGGTCTGGATGCCGAAGTCGGCCAGTTCTCCGCTCTCCCCGATGATGTCGCAACAGCCCGTGCCGAGTTAGAACACCTTCGCGCAGAAGTACGGGCCGTTGCGCAGCACCGCGATGCAGTATTCGAAGGACTCGTTGAACGCGAAAGTCCCCGCAAAGGCCGTTGATGATTATTCTACTTCGTTTACAATACAGACACTTACAAGCGTACGCTTGCGTGTGTTGGGGGTATTTGAACAATGATTCGCTAAAGGCTACCAGTCTGCATCGACCCTTAGCCAGGCCGCTTTCCCCTGACTGCGCCTCCCAGGTTCCTAATCTGCCGCATTCCCAAACCTGATCTCTTGGCTGCCGGTGGTGCAGGTGGAGGAGGATCTTTGATTGGAACAGGTGGCCCGCTTGTGTTGCGTGCCTCTTTTGGTCCCTTGGAGTCGAGGCTTTCTCCGAGCCGCAGATCCGCCACACCGAGGTTGCCGCGGCCTTCCTCAACATCGCCAGAGTGTCTCTGAGCTCGGCGAGCCCTTTCCTGGACGGCGCGGAACTTCTCTAGTAGCTCATTCCATCGAATGATGCTATCCTCTCTACTCTTAAGCCTATTCGGCCTGTCGTAACTTGAGCTTGCAGTGGACGGTGGATTCCTATGAAGTCAGGGTCAGCAATTGTCATGTAATTACATGTTGAGGTTGCCAATGTCCTAGGGACAGGTACGGCCCAGTAGCACTTACACCTTGGGGGCAATGTGGAGGTAACCGATTGAACTGACAGCGTTCAAGCGATTCTTCAGGGCGGCAAAGGCCGAGGACTGGGGGAGGAGCATCAAAAGGCCGTACAGACATTTGTACAAGTGAGGAAATTTCTCAGGCTCAAGCAGCTGCAGTCGGAGGTCTTTTGATCGTTAGCTGGAGTGAGATCATGGGCTGTTGGGAACTCACAAGTGAATACAGGAGATTCTATCAACTGCACCAACTTATCAATCTGGATGAGAATATTCACCGTCATCTCCAGCTCGGCGCTGTGACCGCCCCATTAGCCCACAGTGGTCGTAAGAAAATCGCAACAAGCTCAAGACTCACAAAATTTGCAGAAGATTATAAGCCTGCTCGTAAGCCTGCGCCAACAGGCAGAGGGAAAAGGTTGCGACGGCGTTGTGGCACCACGAGCGGAACAGCGCGACAAAGAAAGTTTGTCCGTCCTGTGAATTGTTCGTAAGCAAAGTAGTCGAAGTAGGAAAATCGGTAATCTTGCCTTCGACTCTAGATTCCGAAGTCTCTTGCGCAGCTCCGACAGCTCTGGAGCAGTGATGAGGTTGTTGTTCAGATTCTGCACCATTATGCTAGCAAATTCGACATCTTCCTCCTTTTCGATACAGTCTGCGAGTGTACGGTATATCCTCTCCGCGCTCAAGCTAACGCAAAGCTGACGGATGATCAGGTTCCCTCGTGTCTCCAGCAGTTTTCTGTCAGTAGCAAACAGCTGCAACAAGTTGACCATGAAGTTTGAAAAGTAGTCGTCTTCGCTGTTGCGAGAAATCTGTGACAGTAGCTGTAGATCTTTCGTGACGACAGTTTCGGCTGGATCCGAGAGCGTCTTAAGCAAGGCAGGGAAGGTTCCGTCGTTGAACGCGAGAACTTTCCGAGGAGCCTTCCTGTGAAGCATTATCAACCACGTCAAGGCCGCAACGCGAGTTGCTTCATGGTCATTGAGGAACAAGAGCGTCAAGGCGTTCACGGCTGCGGCATAGTCCAGATCTACCTGGGGATGGTTATTTGCTAGCGGCGCAACAGGTGTCGAGAGAGAACGATTGTGTCCCTGGGCTGGGGTTGGGCTCCGCATTTCGAGGTCCCGTGAACTAGAAAGAGAAGCTCGTGCACTAGATGGCCCCTCTTGCCGTTCACCGGATACTGGAATGCGTGACATGGACTGTGAGTTGCCGCCGATTTCAGGCTCATCAGAGAGGGAGACGACGTAATCCATTAGGCCTGCATTGACGCGTGCGGCAGCTTGGCGTATGGATTCAACACCACTGGCCATAGCAGGTAGCATGTGAGCCAGGACCTTAGGAGTGAATGGTAGCACCTCTTCGGGGCAAATGTCCAAAAACTCAACTATCCATCGTAGCGACTCCAAGAGAGAGTCCTCCTCTATCACACAAAGAGTCAGCTATGATTCAGGCTGAAGCTCCGTGGCGGTGTGAAATGCAAGCCTTACCAAGGGGCGAGTCCAGAGTGGCGGTCAATATCTCGAGAATTTTTCGGTAGTTGATTTGGACATCTTGTCCTGGTACCCAGTCTTCCTCGCCGCTACTATCATCGTCATCGGATTGCGAATCAACCTCATCGCCCTCCTCCGGACCGATTTGGAGACTCCCCGAATCTACAGACTCCTCGCGTTTCCGCTTTCCGCCTTCACGCGACTTCTTGCTCTCGGCGATGCCCTTCTTGATCCTAGATATCCTTTTAATTTCGCTAAGAAACTTGTCGAGGCAGGCTCTAGTTGCAACGTGAACATCTCTATTTGGGTCACTCAGAAACCTGAGCAAACCACCGAGGAAGTCAGGGAGAAATGTGACAAGTTCCAAGTCGGGAATAGAGTCGAGCAATGTGATCCAGCCAACTAGGAATTGGCGGGTAAAGGGGTTGATGACCCAGATGCGCTCTTGGAGGAGTGGGATGAACCGGCGTAAGGAAAAGGCGGTGGGAGGGGCAGCGCGTTCTTCAAGCTCGTCTTTGTCGCTAAGCTCCTGCTGGTCCAACTCTCCCTCAAGGACGGATACGTACGACGCAGCGGATTCAGAGACAATGTCTTTGATGAGTCGGTCGAGCAGCTCGGCACCGTTTTTAACGGATAACTCAGAGTCAGCTCCCAGCTGTGTGTGGTCAGGTCAGAAATGCGGGCATAAGGAGACATTGAGGGGTCCTTTTTCTTGACTTTGACGTCGATTGTACTAACCTTGCAGAGTGCATCGAAGATGTCGTTAAAGTATATCAAGATCTCCCCCTTGGCGACCTTGGCAATATTGTACATGGCCTCGCAGGCATAGTATCTGACTCTCGCATCTTGATCGGTGAAGCATGCTAGCACTGGCGGAACGATCTTCTCGAGATAGCGGGGTAGCTCCTATGATGTTGATAATCAGCCACAAAGGTCCGGGCCGATAATATTGGTAACAGTCAGTTCATGAAAGATGCATGTTGGCACATACGTGACCGAGGGCGATGGCAGCTGCTGCCAGGCCTATCAAGCCTCCATTTCGGGCATGTGGTTGATGGACGGCGTAGGCGAACTCATTGCAGAGTTGCTCGAGGATTGCTTGGACTCTTGGATAGTCTCTAGTAACTACTAATTCTCGGATGACCCGTTCGAGCCTAGGGTAAGTGGGAAACGAAAGAGTCAGCCACGAGTGAAGAGCATGAGGTGAGTATGAGACGAAGTGAGATGGAGTGAGTGAGAATGGCAGTTGGGAATGGGAAGACGTACTCAAGTGCGCCGACCTTGCGCTTGTCATAGAGCTTATCGTTCAAAGCTCTCTGGATGCTGACTTCCATGGTTGATGGCGAGGTCGAGACAGCAACGACGGGATCATGTCCCGGAACGTTGGCGTAGGACCTTGTATGAGACGAGTCGGGTGCAGTCCAAGTCCAGGTGAGGTTAAGGTAGGCACGAATATCAGTAGTCCGCGTTGGGTCAAAATGGTGGAGAAGGATACGGATAAGATGACAGGAGCCAATGGAGAACTAAACTGAGCTGAGCTAGGTGACCTGAGCTGGGGTCACTCCCGGGTCACAGTGGCAGTATCCGTGTGTTTAGTGGGAAGTGTCGGGGACTTGGGGACTTGGAAGCCGTCACTGAAGAAAACTAAACAAGTTAGGAGTTGCAGATGGAGGGAATGACGAAATGTTTAGAGGTGCCGCGTTGAAGTGTGATGTCGCGATAGGCGCGCGGAAGTGAGGCTGCAGCCGGGTTAGGAGCAGGCGAGACAAGAAGGAAGCAGGCTTTGGGACCGTGGGACGTCAAAAAGAGGCGGGTGCAGGCGGCAGTCGGAGGTGGTGTGGCGTCACTGGCGAAGAACCAACCACTGGCACCCTTCCATACCTAGGTACACTCAAGCACCCAAAGTACCTTGCTCATGGGATGTACCTTTTTCCGTTTCCTCCTGAGCACCCGCACCTTGAGCAAGGTGCCAAGGTACTTGCGAAAGGCAGCTCCAGATCTTCTTTCCGCGTCTTTGGGAAGCCAAGTTACTCACAATAGGTACCAGACATCTCGCTTTCGAGTTCTGCACCTCAAGACGAGTCACCTAGATGCGGATACATGAATTACAGGAAGCCACAGCAGCCCAAGGCACCTGGGGGGGAACTGCAATCTCCAGCGACTGAAAGTGCGAGGGAAGGTGCTTTGGCATGGCTCAATACAGTGGGACAGCCAAGGTAATATAGTATCAAGTGAAGAGGTCCCTCCCCAGGTATTGGGTAGAGTATGGTGGCTATTTCTGGGACTCTGCAGCCGTGCGAACCTATTGTCATCCTGATAACTTAGTTGACATGAGACAAACACTCACCTTGGTTAGCGGGGTAATTACTGGGAGTAAACATTCAAGTAAGGGAGGCAAACATCGACGACGTTGATCATTGCATTGAACTGCCATTAATGCGTCGATGCAACTCCTTTATCTCCGGACAGGAATCTTTACAAACTTGGAGACAGCATTTTCCCAACCCCCGCCATATTATGTTCAATAGAGAGTGTATCCTCAGCCACCGTAAAATACCAAGTATGGCGTCTCTTGGTACATCTCCCAGAGACGAGCATCTATATACGCTCTTTTCTTCTTCAACTTTCTCTTCGCTTCTCTCATCTTTGCCCCGCTCCTGAAGTCCCAGCAAATTCACCCAATGCTACCGAGCTTTCATCGCCAATTCGCGGGTACCAAACCTCGGCGGTGACACGTCGCGACAAAGGCAATTGTTCAACATGCTTCTGGCACCCCAGTATCTTATGAGGAGAGGAGATTCCGAGAGAGACATGAGAGGACCCGTGAACCAATGACATCCTACACCAACCTGCTAATCCTGGTATCCAAAGCCAAGATGAAGGCGTTGATCTCAACCAGTTACAGTGTATCATTCTCACCCCGAGATTTCAGTAATTTGGGTCGGCCTGACCAACTTCCATCTATCCTTGCCCTACTCCGACATCCTGCTGGATTCTGCTTCTCCCTCCATCGATCTCCTCTCACTCTCAACTATCATAGTTGATCCAGGCAGTTTTTTAATCATTGCCATCATCATCATGACTCGGCTCCAAATCACAAGTTGGCACGGCATTATCACATACAAAAGGTAAGTAGTCGATAACGGAATCCAGTGGACTGGCCTCCGAAACGTCGTGCCAAGTACTTCGATATTATTGAACGTGTCTAACGACACGAAACTTCATCGATCTGTCTGCACACTGAAGACACTACCAAGCTCCTCACTTATTATCCTTAACTTGACTGGCCCCCTTGCGGATCCTTACTCGACGAGCCTTGATTCTTCTTCTTGTCGAGAGTAATCCTAGCTCGCTGCACAAACTCGTGCTGCTTTGTGTGAGCGGTAAGTCTTTGTGAGGGTAGCTATCATTTCAAACACTTACGTCCTCTCCATAGCGAAGCAGGATTCGCTCGTATGCTTCCTCGGTCATTTCTTCCTGGAGATGCTTGGGTTTGGGCCCCTTTGGAGCACTCGGGGGCCTCGGTGCCCTTGAGGCCTTCTTCTTCTTGCCCTGTGGCATGGTTGAAAGGTTTGGGAGCGGTGTGGAAAGAGAGCTCGGCAGCTGTTGATTTCACCGTTCGAATTGCTCGTCGGCTTAGCCAACTCTTCTTCGACTAGTCGTTTGGGTAACGGACTCGGATATTGCTCAAAGCTGGATAATGACCGGGAATTACGGGCAGATTGTGGTAGGACACCTACAGAATTTGTAGAGGCAAGGGACTGTGAGCTCTGGAGATGCTAATAAAGGCGCTGCTGGAGAGACTGCCGAAGATCTCGAGTCATCTGGCAGGGCATATGCAGTACCTTATATACACTTCTCGACCTGCGCCTTGATTGTTCGTCAACAAAGCATTCGAGGAACTGCACACTAACACGCCCGGGATCTTCACCCAGTAGCTGCCCACCGCCTTTGGCACCCTGGCCATGTTCGGTAAGCTGTTGAGGACCTGTCCAGGAGTTGCTGTTCATGCGTTGTTCAGTCAACCCCCCTACAGTCGTGCCCAGAAACGTGGCGACGGGAGTCTATCGGACTATCAGATCCAGACCATCCCTTCACCAATCCAGAACGACGCCCATGCTCCTGTCTCGAAGGAGGTCTTAATGAGGCACCAATGATTCCAAAGACAGTCGTAATTGGTGAGAATGGCTACTTTACAATACGACCACGCGGGAAGTAAGTACATGGGTCGTACAGCCCCATCGACTGTTGTGAATACTTGGCTAACGGCTGTTACAAAAACATATCTGATGTTACGACTACGTCTTTTTCCTTCAAGTACCAACGGGACGGGAGCACGGGGAGCCGGACTGGCCTCCGAAGTTGACCGTCCCGTGTCACCCCGAAGCCTTACGTTCATGTCTGCGCTGCAACCTGGGCAGGCCCGGCGTCTCGATCCTCCCTCCCCTCTCCATCACTGTTTACTATTCTGCTATCATCACTTGTGGCACATGCTACTTTTTTGCTTTTTCTATCAACCCCCTCATCGACTTGCTATGAAGACTCTTCTAGTATCTCGAACTAGGCCCCGTTCTGCCCATTCTTGTTCCGTGGTTGCGGATCTGTTTTGAGGAGAACAGCGCCAAAGGAAGAGACCGCGGTTTGCTCGCTGATAGAGGGACGACAGTCCAAATAAGGCGTTCGTATCCCCACGGTCTGAGAGGTTTAGCGCGTTCACTTGCCATGGCGCTGGAACCTCGTCAAAAGGAAACGGAGGTTGAACCCAGGGAGTTCCCCGTCCGTCCGGGTCGGCGTAGAACTAGAGGGGTGCCCGCCGCTTGGCGTTATTGCTTATTCCAATGTTACGTGGTGTTTCTGTGCTTTTGGATTTGGACACCCCAGCTTTCATGTTTTCCCCCGGGACCCTTCCATCTTCTCTAACTTACCTCCTCCCCCTTTTCTCTCAAGGAGTTGTTGAAACCTAGCTTAAGTGGCTTGAACCGGGTTACGTTCCGATATGGTTTGGGGTCTCACGGCCAGCAGCCTCATCGATTCCCAGATCGTGCATAACTCCCGGGTCAGAACATCCGATCGGGAACGTGAACCATGGATCGGGATAAGAAGCGTTTCCATGTGTGCCACGGCTGGGTGGAGAGGTATGCACGAGACGGGTGGTGGTCAAGAAAAGGCCCAAAGCTCCCATCGAGGTACTGCTGGGGCGCATGCCATGCATGCCATATACTTGTGGGAAAAGCCAGCAAGTATGAGAGGAAATCAACATCTCTTTCCCTTGTGTCTCGTAGCATGGCTCGTTGAGACCCTGCGATCGCGCTTCTAGATCGTTTCGTTACTCCGTATTCCGACATGTGGGTTGTCTCCATGCCTGTCGTTTCACCGTTCTGTCTCAACGTTCATTGGCCGTTGGGGAAACCGGGGAGCGAGGAGAGAATCCCACGCCGGTTGAAGGTCTTGGGATGGTAGTAAGTTGCTGGTAACAAGTCCCCCTTGTCTCTCCCCCCTCTCTTCTCTCCCCTTTTCTCACCCGTCCTTTCCTCGCGCACAAGGTGGAATAAGAAACGGTACAAACCATGACAGAGGGCGGTGGTTGGATGTGGCACAGCCAAAACCTCGGAAGTAGTCACATAGTCTCCAGAGATGATGGAGGAGCGGCTCAAGGAAGGTCGGGCGAAGAAGTACAGATCGGGCAACCCGATCATGCGGTCTGCTGCATAAGTTTGTCACACCGTGTGCATGCGCCTTCGTTCGAACACAGATTTCCATGTCATATCAGATCGATTCTTCCAGATACTATAGCTAATCTTGGCTTGAGCGCCACATACCACATGGTTGGTATGCATGTCTCCTCTTCTCACATCATTCTCCTTACCACCCCTAGTCGCGAACAGGGTCATTGTCTTCCTCTCCCCGCGGCGAGAGGGGTATCTATATGGAGAAGTACATTATGCAGCCAGATGACGAAAATGAGACCAACTCTTTTTGTGAGATTTAGAAACAAGACCGAAACAGCCAACAGGATGCCATTAGTGACCATGGCCGCTCTGGATGTGATCAGCCGCGACCTTTTGGCATTTTGCCAAGATGGCAGCCTGCCGGGACACCTCGGCCAGCCGACCGATCACGTCCTTGTTACCGTCCACAAAACCGTAGAGGGCGTAGGGAATACCCACGTCGTTGCAAAAGTCCTGCACGAGCCGCTGGGTCTTGCGCAGATTGTGGCGTGGGATGCGCGGGTACATGTGGTGGACGACCTGGAACTGCAAGCCGCCGTGGAAGAAATCGAGCCAGGTCGGGCAGTCGACGTCCATGGTCGTCCGCAGCATCTTTTGCGGGAACGACTCGTGGGGTCCCAAGTCTGCGGTGCTCATGGCGAAGTGGGAGAGCGTGATCTGGACGTGCAACGGGGCCTGGAACATGTGGCTGATGATCACGAAGACAAAGCGGTCCCAATTGGTGGGAATGGACTTGTACACGATACCGTAGCCGAACCAGGCCCAGAAGAAAACCTGGCCAGCCACCTCGAGCCAGCGGTGCCACCAGGCGATGCCCTTCTTGGGACCGCGGCCCATGATCAGGTGGTCCCACGAGAGTCTGTACAGGTTGAAGCGGCCAAAGAGCATGATGGGGTAGTAGAGATACGACTGCGCCTTCATGAACAGCTTGGCCGCAAAATCGTATTCCATCACACGCTCGTAGTAGGTCGACGTCAAGTTACCAAGGAAGCGGTGGGAGATGGCGAAGAAGGGCAAGTGCTCGATATCAGGGTCATGCTCGGGAGAATTCGTGACGATGTGGTGGACGTTGTGGTTCCGCTTCCACCATCCAATGGACAAACCGCCCATGAAGTCAGCGATGAAGATGCCAATACACGTGTCAACGTGAAAGTTGTGAGTGATGCCCATATGCCCGGCGTCGTGGGCGGTGAAGACGAGCTGGTGCCAGAAGCAGCCCAGACAAGCTGCACTTGGGAAGTACCAGCCCCATCGCAGAAACGTCAGCATACCGACGAAGAGAAGCGTATACCGTGATACTTCAATGGCGTAGGCACGATAGTCGCAGTCATAAAGCCCTTCGGCCTTGATGCGCTTGTCGAGGAGCCTGTACTTTCGCACAATGTCTGACTGCGTCTCGTCGTCCAGGGCAGGGTACTTGTCGAGGTCGAGACGGATCTGTTTCCGTGTCTCCGAGTCGAGGAAAGCAGTGCCGTCCATCTCCTTGTCGTCGTGACCATCGTCGATGACTGACGTGGCCGAAGAGCCAGAGCCTGAGTTCGGGCTCGCCACAGCGCCGTTTCTGTGACGGACGTGGTTCTCGGTGGTGTCGAATACGGGCGAGGCTTCTCGTGAGCTGACGTCGCTGGGAGACGAGGCGCCAAAGAAGCGCAGTGCGTCGTCGTCCTCGGCATGGTCGAACTCGGGACCGCCCTGCTCAGTCGTCCTGAACTTGCCTCCCTGAATGGGTGGGACAAAGTTCCTCCAGTGGCCCTCGATTCTTCCGATTCGATACCGAGCCATTTGCGCCTTGGCTTCTGGAGAATGCAGTCTGCCGGGATGCAAGACAATAATAAGCCATTGTGATTTCGGTTACTGTTTCTCTTCCTCTCCCTCTTCCCAGCCTGCGACGGGAAAGGATCTGGTGGGAATCGGGAGAGGAGCAGGGGTGCGCTTACACGGTGACCTCGTCGGTGGCATCTCGACCGACCATGTGCTGGATAGCCTTGTCGCCGCCCGGGTGGTATGCTAGCCACCCGTCCAACTTGACGACGAAATCGTCAACTATTGTGACAACTCTGCCCTGTGCGATCAAATCTTCAATCTGGCGGCGCGACATGAGCGGGTACTCCCTCGTCCTCTTTGGCTTCCCACCCGAAGCTGTCCCCACGGAGGTAGCCATTGCGCTTGCGCTCGCGGCTCCGGCACGACCGTCTTGTGACGTTGCAATTGGGTTTTGACTGTCGGATGTGCAAGGCGGCAAAGCTCAGAAAGGAGCTTGGGACGAGGAATGGCTGGAGCAGGTGCTGAAATACCAACGGAACGAACGAACGAACGAATTTGAGTTCTTGCGAAAGAAAGGCAGCTTCCGGGAATAAAAGAATGGGAGAAGTTAGAGGTGGTGCATTGGAGGGGTGGTTGGAGGCAAGGGAAAAACACCTAATCGGAACGTGGTAAGGGATGCTGCAGCTTTGGTTCGCCGAAGCTCACCGCATCTTCCATGTTGATCCGGCCGTCCAAGGTACTTTGGACCGTACATCAAGGTATGGACGGTACCTTATGTCCAGTAACTAGGCACGTTCCTAAAGGTAGCTGTCAATGAGGCCAAGAGTGGTCCCCGTCGCTCTCAGGAAAAGTGGCATCCTAATTAAGGTACCTCAGCTATCGAAAGTTTGAGATGCTTCTAGTGTGTCAAGAGTGTTTTCCTACGCGGTACAGACAACGTATACCGGCACTTGAGTTCGAGTGTAAGTGGGAGAGACAGGGAGCGAGGTTGACACCTTGGAGGGGCTCTGCGCGGCCTCTGCGCCGGGATCCGCGGCGAAAACCCATCCCGCTCTGTAATACCTCTACTATCTTAGGCCTAGGGCGCTGCGCATCCATGCTTGCCCTTGAATAGGTGTCTACCTAGGTACTTTACGGAGTACCGTGCCGTAGCTACCCAGCTAGCCAGGTACCGCCTCATCTCAGCCAAATAACGAATCGGGTGATCGGGGGCCGCTCGAGTCCGCTGACCGTTGCAAATATACAGCCACAGTCACTTTCCTCCCAAGATAAATCGTTCGAGAAACATCACTGATCAGTCCCACCATAGCGTGTTTCCAGTTGTCTCAGCTCACATCTGCCTGCGAGTGCGCTTTCATTACCCCATTCCTCACTCGAGAGTAGATACACGTGTACAGATGATCATTTGAACTTAGGTTAACTGGGTAAATCCAGCAAACAATTTTCACTCCTTTTTTTTTTTTCTTTTCCTGAGCTGCCCTCACTTATTCCCGTCGCGATCACATGTATACCTTTTCTCGTCTTCTTTCCCCGGGGTCACTCCCATCGAAAGGCCACATCGAACAGGCTTCATCAGGTACTGTCAGACGTGTGGGTCCGGACGGCCCGGTTGACCAGTGCTTGAGCCACGGAGGACCATCGGATTAGACAATGACAGTTCTACCTACTTACCTTGCCTGACCTAAAGCTACGAGTTTCACTTGTAGCCTTGCAGAGGTCCGTCCCGTTAGAATGAATTTGGGGACCATAAAGATGCTGCGCCGGTCTCTTCACAACCCAGACTGCGTCAGCCTAGTGGACTTTAGTAGATCATGAGACAAGAATCTCTGAAGACATAAAAATGCACGCATGGCTTAGGCCACGAAGGAAGATGCAGTTGAACAGACGTTCATTCCCAAAAAAAGAACTTGGTTTGTAATACATGTTACACGAAAGTTTTGATACCCGTCATTTCAACCTAGAAAATCATACGTATCCGCCTCGTCCTTGGCTTGCCCGCAGCCTAGCAGAAACAAACGACCATCTCGCTTCCTCCTCTAGCAGCCCTTCTACTTATTTTCCAGATGCCGAGTACAGAGCTCCAATGCCCCAGTACTGCTCCGCATTGAAGGTCGCTGCCTCGGCGTGCTTCCAGAGGTCGTTGAAAGCAGAGAAGAGAATCACATCATTCGGATGGCTTGCGTATGCATTCTTGATTGAGTCGACGGCCAACTTTTGCTCAGAAAGACCTGGCACAGCGGCACCGTTAGAATTTCCCTTCCATGGCCAGCCCGTCTCCGTGCAGACGATACGCTTGCTTCGGTCAGTGAGCTTGGCCTGGACCTGCGCAACCGTGTTGGTGATGAACGAGCCAGCGTCCTTCGCCGCCGTGTTGCTGTCGAAGAAGGGGTGAATGTTCATCGCGCAGTAGTCGGAAGCATCACAAAGTGAAGGGTTGGCAAGAACCGCCACAAAGGTATCAACAGTTACGACAGGGCCGGTGTAACCTTTGGCGCGGAGGAGCTGGCGTGTCTCCCCGACAGCTGTTACGATTTGCTGCGCTGTGGCCTTGCCATTGTTGACCAATTCATTGCCGACACTGACAGTATCGATCAGAGACCAGTCGCCGTTGGCTGCCGTACTAATGGCTGCGACCTGTTCAGAGATTGAGCTGATGTCGAAAATGCCCAAGAAGAGCTTGAGACCGGCCTTCTTAGCCGCGGGAAGGGCGTTCGCGATCTGATTGCAGTCGGTACCGTAGGTGCGCACTACCGAGTACTTTCCCTTGAGCTCTGTGAAGTCGGCGTCGATCTCAGCGGCTGTCTTGCACAGTCCCGCTGCTGTGTAAGGGGCATACGCAATTCCGTTCAGGGTCGAGTTTGAAGTGAGAGTGGAGTTCGAAGTGAGGGAGGAAGGTGTTGGCGTAGAGGATGATGTTGAAGAAACGGAGAGTGAAGCGGTCGTCGAGGCGACCAACGGAGAAGAAGAGCCTAGGAGGTCACTAGTAAGGTCTCGTGACGAGGTAACGCGAGTGGCTAGTTCCTCAGATCGGGATTTGAGATCTACAGGCTTCGAGGGGCGTTGGGCTGATTGCGATGGCGGCACGAAGCGGACCGTTTCGACGGTCGTTTCCAAAGGAGTACCCTCTTCGTCGACGTAGACAACTACTTGAGGGGCCTCGGTCGCCTCGTTGAGTGAAGAATCAGTCACGAGGATCTTCTCAGGCCCAACAATTGCTCCTTTGACATCTCTAGTGCCTACACAATTGTGTCAGATATGCTCTTGAACTCCATGGCAACGAACAAGTCCGGCTCACCTTTGGGATGAGCAGCCGAGAGCCCAAACAAGGCAGCGAGCGCCAGTGTTGACGAGATACCGGTAGACTTCATGTCCGATTTGCGACTTTTATAGCGTAGTGACGCGTGGTGATTGGGCCCGATTCAGGCAAAGTAAAAATACCAGAGAATATGGTGGTGTGGACGCCCGTGGTTCTAGGCTTCGGTGGAAGTTGGATTTCGCTGGAACACGATTGTTCAAAGTCAGGCTATGTAGCGATAGAATCGTGAGTTAAACAGGTTTGGAATCAGGATTGAACGAGAGAGAAGAATGGTAGGGTCAGAAAATGAGTGACTACAACGAAAGCAACAACATCAGCAGGAAAGGAACGAATCGCTGTCGATACAGCTTTGCACTACACGAAGCCAACGGCGACGAGCAATAGTATAGGACGAGGGAAAGAAGACGAGAAGATGGAAAAGCCGAGAAACACCAAAAGAGGCAGAGATGGCGGGCATGGTGTATTCAAGTAGCGTCAGTCCTCCACCCCCACGGGGGCGTCCTTGGTACCTGGCTGTGACTTCTCGCGGCCCAATCATGCAACAAAGTTGCTCGGCAGGGGCTTGATGTCTTGTTCCAAGAACTGCAGGAACGGGATAAAATGAGGTACGGGAGACAATTGAATTAGGAGATGAGACGGGAAGGGAGTAACGAGCGGAGGGAGAGACAGCCCAGCCAGAGGCAGGAATGTTGGTTCCCACTTGTAACAAGCAACACATTGCACTTGTGGAAAGAGCCAACACTTATCCTAGGGGGCCAAGGAACCTCTCCCGAGGAATTCAGAATCACCAAGGAATTGATGTAGACTTCTTAACTCACTTCCGAAAACAGGTTTCGTAGCTTAGGTTGTTGTTGTTGTTGTTGTTGTTGTTGTTGATGATTTGCAGAGTGTTGGTCACACTTTGTTCTCAGTATCTGGAGATAAAGATAAACAAATGTCGAGCCGTTGGTGTGAATGAGTTTCTGGTCCTCAATGTCGTCTTCTGAGTTCGACCAATGTAGGTTCGATTGCTCCGAGTAAGTACAGCCAAGGAACGCGATGCTTGAAGGGCCTTAATCTTGTAATGTAGGTCAGCATTTGACGTGGAATTTCTACCTGTGATCGACACACGCTTTGTGAGGCAAGCGCCAACTTACAGTAGATCAATGTATGGGAAGCGTTGCACTTGTATGCTAGGTAGGATTGGGTTCTGCAACTGAAGGAATGTTGTTTCTACTCAAGAAGCATAAGGAAAGTGAAGGGAGGCAATAGAGATGGTCGTCTCAGACGGTTCAATGAATGTGTGAGGATCTCGAGAGCTCATGAGATGAAAAAGGAACGACATCGAGGCATCTTATAGAGGTCACCGTATGATCAAAATACTCTATAACCTGGACCCAGCTCCACACACATGGTTTAGAGCCTCCTGCATTCTACCTCTTTAAGCCTCCGAGGAGGAAGACGACACAACCTGCCTGAGGTAGGTACTGTCAAGGCTTCTCGCTTGAAACCCTCATCGGCGCCGTGTAGGTAATCAAAGGCGGTGCCCGGTCTTCAAGAGGCGGCCGGTCTTTGAACGCCAATTTCATACAGGTACCCGATCCAAGTGCCTAGTAGCGCAATGGATTTACGAATTTGTACCTAGTCAAAAAGACCTTGACGCGTGTTCGAAGAAGACTCGTCACTCCCCCGACTTCTGGGGCTTAGTCTCGAAAAACCCTTAAAAGCCATCGGAAGAGGGCAAAACGCGGATGGTAGAGCATGTCTAAGAGATGTATCGCTGGTCTAGAACACTTGCAGGACCCGAAGCTGCGGTTTGGCCGGATGAAGAAGGGGAAAGAGAGGAAACTTTCCGAAAGGTCTGGACCTACGGAGTCCGTCGACAAAGGTGGAGGGCGGCATAATGCCGAGTTGTTGGGGCCAGTTGACCGTCCGCCCGATGCCGGATCCGGAGCCGAGCTGACAGCGGGAAGTGGGTGGTGGCTGGCAGTACGGCCTTTGTGTTTGCTGCCATCACTCATGTCCCCTTTGGCAAATTTTCTCCAGTCTTTGTCTAGCGTTCCGAGCTCTCTCTTGCATAGCTCCGCACCCCGATTGTTTCA